TAGATAGAGCAATGGCAAATAACGAATGGAAGGCTACTTATCCGGCTTCTGGAGTTGAATACTTACAAATGATAGAATCCAACCACCGCCCGGCAATCATTAAGATTAGAAGAATCGCAGAGTTTAGAAGGAAAAGATTTCTGTTTGATACTCGGCTTTGTAGGAAACCGGAGTTTCAGTCTGTAGTAGAGAATGGATGGTTCAGAGACCTTATTTATATGTCCGTTAAAAACAGAATACATAATTGCCGGCGTATCATTGCAGAATGGAAACGAAATCAAAATCTGAATTCAGCCAAGGAAATAACAGAATTGATGGCATCTATAGATCATGCGCAAACAAACCCGTCAATTCCGCTGGAGAATAATACACACACTGCAAGGTGAGCTTCTCAAATCGTATCGAAAAGAAGAGCAGTACTGGCATCTTAAGAGTCGCAACAAATGGCTTACAATAGGGGATCAAAATACAATATTTTATCATGCTGCTACTAAAAATAGAAACGCTAGGAATCGCTTAGTATCCATACAAGGAACTAATGGCGAGGAACTCCAAGGAAACATAGAAATTGCAAGTGGTGCTGAAGACTACTTTCGTGATCTATTCACATCTCAAGGACAAGTTGATTTATCAGAAGCTTTGAGTATTATTCATACGGTGGTTACACCTGATATGCATATTTCTCTAACAAGAGAAATCACAACTAAAGAAGTCAGAAAAGCCATTTTCTCAATTGGAGCTACACGTGCACCAGGACTGGATGGATTTACAGCCTTTTTCTATCAAGAATACTTGGATATTGTTGGTCCATGAATTGTGGAGGAAATACGTAATTTTTTCACCACTGGAATCATGCCTAATGACTAAAATCATACGAACCTATACCAAAGATAGACCCGCCACAATCAATGAAAGACCTTCGACCAATTAGCCTGTGTAACGTATTGTACAAAATCATTTCGAAGATTCTGGTGGTGAGACTAAAAACTGTACTTGGCGAAGTGGTATCAGAAAACCAGGCAGCATCTATACCGGGGAGGTTCATTACAGATAATGTGCTTATTGCACACCAAGTATTGCATTCATTAAGAGTTCGTAAACGTTGTGCCAACTCTTACATAGCTGTTAAAATATACATCAGTAAGGCATATGATAGGATATAGTGGCAATTTCTAGAAGCCGTACTCTGGAAGAAAGGCTTTTCTGAAATCTGGATCGACTAGATCATAAAATGTGTGTCATGTGTATCATTCTCAGTGCTTATTAATGGGAGTCCATATGGTAAATTTAATGCAACAAGAGGCCTACGACAAGGTGATCCATTATCTCCTTACTTATTCACATTATGTTCTGATGTCTTGAATTCCCTTCTCTCAAAAGCTGAGCGAGACAAAAATTAATCGCTATACGAGTTAATCTGGGTGGCCCAATGATCTCTCATCTGCTATTTGCCGATTATTCATTGTTATTTTTCCGAGTGGATCATTGGAACAGTTATAATCTGCTTACAATTTTTGACACATATGCTGCGGTTTCTGGTCAAATGATCAATATAGATAAATCAGCGATTACTTTCGGACACAATGTATACCATCACACAAGAGAAAGCATTAAAGCTATCCTTCAGATACCAAACATAGGGGACGGTGGAAAGTACTTGGGATTACCGGAACAATTCGGTAAGAAGAAAAAAGAGATGTTACAATAGATCAAGGAAAAGGTCCATAATACGGTAATAGGTTGGCAAACAAGATTTCTCTCAAATGCTGGAAAAGAGATACTTATTAAAGCAATTGCTTATGCAATGCCAGTTTACTCTATGAACTGTTTTCAACTTCCAAAAGCAATCTGTTCAGAAATAGATAGTATGATTTCAAGATTTTGGTGGGGTTTGACACAAGAAAAAAAAGAAAAATGTCTTGAGCTTCTTGGAAAAAAATGTCAAAACCAAAATGTATTGGCGGTTTGGGTTTCAGAGATCTTCATCGATTAATCAAGCACTTCTAGCTAATCAGGTCTGGAAAATAATGCTACGAACATCTTCCCTTCTGCATAAAATGCTTAAAGGCCGATATTTTTAGAGATGGAGACATTTTATCAGCATATGTGGGAACACAACCATCATTTGGATGGAACTCTCTTGGAGTCGGGTGCCAGCTACTCCAAAAGGGGATCCAAAGATGAATCAAAAATGGTAAAAACACAAAATTAGGAAGAGATGCATGGCTGCCTACTATACCACCACGGGCTTCTGTCCTCACAACTATGGCAGATCTCGAGACTCATGTGGATACTCTCATCGACCCACAAACTCAATAATGAGATGAATCTAAACTCACTCAATTCATTGATCCTGTGGAACACCAAATCATACAAAAGTTATATCTTCGTACAGCTCATAAAAAGGATGATTATATTTGGAGCTATACAAGAGATGGATCCTACAACGTCAAATCCGGATACTAGTTAGCTTCACAACATTATAAAGAAATTGAGGAACCTCTACCGCCGCTAGCGGATCATCCAGACATAGAAAAAGGAATATGGAAACTACACATAGTGCCAAAAATGAAGCATTTTCTCTGGAGACTGGGTTCACGTGCAATTTGAGTGTCTACAAATCTATGTCGTCGTCACATAAACATGAATCTAAGATGTACCCGATGTTGTTCAGAGGAAGAAATCAGCAATCATGCTTTCTTCAACTGCAAGTATGCTGAAAAAGTATGGCGATATGCGGGCATTCCTACCCAATATCTTTGCGACGAAGCAATTCCTTTAGAAGATAAACTCAGACATGTAATTAATCTTTATGGAAATGCTTCTTTACCTGAACTTTCCCGCCTATCTCCTTTTTGGATTCTTTGGAGGATATGGAAAAGCAGGAATGAGTTACTTTTTGGACGGAAGCATATTGAAGCACATGACACCTTTAATTGTGCTATTACGGACACCAAAGAATAGATCGAAGCACAACGCCAAATAAATCCACCAGCTCACTCTGCAGATTCTTACTGCTCAACCCGACACAACCATTGGCAAACAGCAGCTAGAAGATGGGTTAAATGCAATTATTATGTCTCTCATTTTGAAGGTAATCGTGATTCAGGCATAGGCTGGCTCATCTGTGATTCGGCAGGTACATTTTTAGATGGTGGAATGAGTAAATTTCAAGGACGGATTTCAGTGGAGGAAGATGAACTTTCAGCGCTTATCTGGGCAATACAATCAGCCTGGTCCCTTGGTTATCGATGTGTAGAGTTTGAACGAAACAACATAAATATTAACTTTCTGCTTAACGGCAAGGAATCTAACATCCGACCTCAGCATTACATGGATACAATCAACACATGGGCGAATATGTTTGAGAATAGAAAATTCATCTATCGTAATTGGGGGACCAACAAATGCGCAGATTGACTTGTTAAAAACTATATTATATGTAATAATCATTGGCAACTCTTCCGTTGTTGTCCTAACTTTCTAACGAACCTTGTAAATCATGATGCATATTCTCATAATTGATAAAGAAATCAGTTGAAAAAAAAAAATTTATATATATATATACTAAAATATATTTAGATGTTAGAAAATTAAAAATATTAAATTAGGAAAACAAATTGATTACAAGTGTGTTATAGATTTAAAAGAGAGGAGGAGGGGGGGGGGGGGGGGGGAACAAAAATATGCATTCTGAAATTTTTATGGTTAAAAATCAGTTTTAAGTGAATGAAATTCCCCTAACAACACCAAAAACTGTCAAAAGTAATTATAACAATCAAAAGTATTAGGACAAAACCATGTATTTTGAATACTGATGTGTGTTTCTAAAAGCTCGAATAACAAAAATGCATGTTATAAAAGGCTAAATCTGTAATCCAAAAACCTCTAACATGTACAACACAATATTCGAGTAAAAAATTGATATAATTTCATAAAGTTATACAACATTTAAGTGAAAGAGTAGACATTGAAACTGATAAAAAGAAGAGAACAAACAAATTTATGAGAAAGATAATAAAGATAAGTTAAAATCGGACCAAAATATTATGGGTATAGTTCAATATATGTTGTGTTTATGAGAGAGAGCATAGTAACAATATATCAAACATTATCAAAAACATATCAATATTGTCTACAATGTGTGTGGAGAATCTTTATCCATTTATACAAAATTTAATGTAGTATAAATGAATTTTGACTCAAATTTTAAAAGTAAGAAATGTAAGTATATTTTTAGATCCAAAATTAACAAGTTGGATTAAAATTAGATATTACTACTTTATAAATTTTGTTTGTGAATATAAATATTAAAAAATCAGATATATTAATGATTAAATAAATTGATATTTGTTCAAATGTGTTATATAAAATACTGGTAAAATTCCGTGTGAAGCATGGAATATCGACTGCTACCTAATATAAATGTATAATATTAAGAGGACATACTGAAAAAGGGTGTTATCACAATGAAATAATGATCGAAAGTAAGATCAAAAGAAGAAAACTGGTAACATCGTAAAACCACAAGTTCTGATCTCACCTTACCAATCTTGTTTCTTTTTTTTTTTGAACTGCCCCAATCTTGTTTCTAATACTGGGAAATTATTCCCCTTGTATTTTCTAAAAAACCGACAACAACTTTATCTCCAACTTCACTCCATTTATCTCTTTCGATATTGTTTTGAGTTGTTAGAAATTGACAGCTTAACATTATTTTTTTCATATCAACTGTTTCCTTTCATTTCATTATCATTTTTCATTTGAATCGTTTCTTTTTTAAATTAGTCACTCCTTTGCTTGTATAAATATGTGTTCGCATTCTAGTGGATTGTTGATTTAGTCACTCCTTTCCTTGTATAAACTAATATTTAAATTTTCTCACAATGTTTAGTTCTAAGAATCTGTGATAGCCTTTTTAGTCTAGTGGTTAACCAAATGGTTAACCAAAGCTTTTACAACAAAAAGTGTGGGGTTCGATTTACAGAATACAATGTGTGGACGATTTAATTGTCTTTGTTATTATCTTAATAATTTTGAATAATATAATATTACAGACGACAAAATAAAATCATTACAAAGATCTCACATACGACCATATATGGCTGCGTCCCCCAGATTAAAAGATATATAGGTGTGAGTTATGATCTATATATGTAAGTTTAATTTATCATCTGTAGTAGTAGCATAGTTTTTTAATAGTTTTTTTTGAACAAATGCATAGTTTTTATTTGTTACATCCTCAATTTGAATTTAATATATAACTTATCAAGGGTTTACCAAAGCTAACCACACAAATAATAGAAAAACATAATCATTAAATTGATAAATGACCACAAGTCTACATGTATATGTAACTTCCTCAGTGATTAAGATATTGATATGCATTTTCTTTATGGCCCTTTTCCTCTGCGCGATTTCGAAGGAGGTACATAAAAACGAGGGGGAGGGGGAGGCATAGGGGGAGACGGTGACATTTTACCTGTATATTATGCACGACATTGGTTGTTTCATTAGTTTTTTCTTTTTTTTGAAAAAGGGTTATTTCATTAGTTTTTTCATTCAACAGCTTGGAGCAATGGAATAAAAAAAAATGTATAAAGATCCTTATGTAATATCTCTATAACAAAACATAAAACAATGTCTCTATATATTTTGAGCATAAAAAGTAATACCTCTTTCGAAAACAGGATTAATAGAATCACACAGCGTACATATTGATTTATCTCTCACTAAAAGTCATTTTATTTTCTTGATATTATGCTTTTCAAATGGAATTTTCGAATGATCAGTAAAATCATAAATTACTAGCACTGTTTATGCTGTCTGTTCTATATATGATATCTCATATAATTTAACCCAAAATTAAAAGACTTTAACAAAAAAATAATATAACGGAAAAATAAAAACATGATTTGATAAGAATTTTTATCCACAAAAAACCCACATGTAAAATAAAATAAAATAGAATACGTACATAACCTCTAAACACATTGAAATTTACAGAAATTAGCAGACACCTTAAAACGTGTGTATGCTTATTCCTTGGGGAAAAAAAGATGAAAAGTAATAAAATGAAAATGAGTGCAAATACGTATACTAACGTTGATAGCGTTTGGCTTCGGCGAGACCAACTTGAGAGGAGACAAATAACAGCAGAAGAATCAAGGATAGAACAAGAGAAACTAAATGTGATGTCTTTGTAGCCATTATGGTCCACTTTGTCACACTGCCATTACAAAAGACCATCTCAAGATATATATATATATACAAGTAAATGAAGCATCAATAATTTACAATCTCAACAACTACGTTCTCCACTCAACCGCGTTATAATTATATCTTTCAAAAAGTAGACTTTTTGAATTTTTCTTATGCTCGAGATCAATTTTAAAAAATTTCTCAGGGTGAATGTAGTAGCTATCGAATATCTTACTCATTGGATTTTTTATAATATATCAAACATAACACTATTTTAACTGACCAAATAAAAATGATTTAGATCATTTCAAATTTTAAAAAAATTATTTGTGGCCTAGACTCACCTACAAAACAATTTTTTTTTTCAAGTGAAGCTATCGTCCCACTACTATTTGATTATGTTTAGTTAATTTTTCATATCAAAACTTTTCTTATTTGACCTTTTACACGAAAACTTTATGATAGGGATATCTGTGTTGGTTTTGAATGAGTCAATAAACGTTAGCTTTATTGTAGGAGCTAATCACGTCTCAGTTTTAATTAGCTTTAATTTTGTTATTTGTTTCTGTTAGGTATCTTTATTTCCATTTCGTATCTAGCTCTTTAATTTAGAGTAAAAGTTGTAAGGCTGTTATATTTTTCCTTTGTGGAATAACACAGAGAGCAGATTTCCAGAATTATTATAACTTTGTTTTCTTCATCTAGTATGAGAGCAAAGTTCTTTTATTTTTTGAGTGTTTAAGGAGAGAAACACGAGAGAGAAAATGGGAAATTTGGGAAGTTACACTGCACATGCAGTTCCAGTTTTTGATGGAGACTATGATCATTGAAGCTTGGTCATGGGGAATCTTCTCCGATCGAAGGAGTACTAGAACATCATCGATCCAGGTTTCGAAGACCTAATCAGAATTGAAGCCCCCACCCCCGACACAACAAACATCACTCCAATAAGCAAGACTCAAAGACCTCAAGGTAAAAAATTACTTGTTTCAATCGATTGACAAGTCCACATTGAAGACAATCACGCAGAAAGAAACTGCTAAACAATTGTGGGATTCAATGAAGGTCAAGCATCAAGGAAGTGAAAGGGTGAAGAAGGCTCAGTTACAGAGGTTAAGGAGGGTATTCAAAACATTGGAGATGAAGAATGGAGAGAGTGTGAAGAGCTACATAGCAAGAGTTATGGAGACAACAAATGACATGTAAAATGTGGAGAAACTCTGGATGATGTCAAAATCGTCGAGAAGATTCTTCGGAGTCTTATCGAAAACTTCAACTATGTGGTTTGCTCCATTGAAGAATCCAAGGATATTGATTGTCTCTCAGTGGACGAGTTGCATGCATCGCTGCAGATACACGAAGGGAAAGTAACGGGAAAAAGGAGTGAAGAACAAGTTTTTCAAGTAGAAAACGAGCCAAGAAACGGCCGAGGAAGAGGAAACTGGTATTATAGGGGAAGTAACAGTTCGAGAGGAAGAGGGAGAGGCAGATCGTTTGTAAACAGATCTGCTATTAAGTGATTTCGGTGTGGAAAGATGGGTTATTATCAGTTTGAGTGCTCTTCTCATGAAATAGGAGCAAACTATGCAGAATATGATGACGAAGAAGAGTTACTTCTCATGGCTCACTCTGATATGAAAAGTGAGAAAGATCATGGTGTGTGGTTTCTCGATTCAGGATGCTCAAACCACATGACTGGAGAAAAGTCTTGGTTCATTGGAATAGATGAAAGCTTCAGACACGCTGTCAGGTTGGGAAACAGCTCAAAATTAAGCGTTGATGGAAAAGGGAAGATCCGGATCAGTGTGGACGGAATTCTACAGGTGGTGACTGATGTTTACTATGTTCCAAATCTCACCAGCAATCTACTAAGCATTGGTCAATTACAAGAGAAGCGACTATCAATTGTTATTGAAGATGGCATGTGTAGGATATATTACGATGAAAGAGGAGTCATTGTGGAGACACAAATGACCAAAAACTGTATGTTCTTGGTTCATGCCCTGAAGAAACCAATCACTACAACTTGTCTCAAGACGGAAGGAGAAGGCTTGGGGAATCTTTGGCACAAGAGGTTTGGACACTTAAACAACAAGTCCATCCAACTTATGCAAAGGAAAGAAATGGTGAAAGGGCAACCAAATATCAAGGACATCAACAAAGTCTGCACCGTTTGCAACATAGGAAAACAACAACGAAGGAAATTTCCAAAAAAAAGCAAATGGAGAGCATTGGAAAAGCTGGAGCTGATACATGCAGATCTTTGTGGGGCCAATCACTCCAATCTCTCAAAGTGGTAAACGCTACTTTCTGGTATTTGTTGATGATTTTTCTCGGAAAACATGGATTTATTTCTTGGTTGATAAAGCTGAAACCTTTGAAACCTTCAAAGCTTTCAAAAGCTTGGTTGAAAAGGAAGATAAGACTGTTATCCGAGGGTTACGAACTGATAGAGGAGGTGAATTCACTTTAGAAAACTTCAACAAAACAGAGTCGCAGAGAGAAGAAACAGAATAATCATGAACATGGTTTGTTGCTTACTGTTGGAGAAGCAAAGGCCGAGATTCTTATGGGCCGAAGCAGCAAGGTGGACTGCTCATATATTGAATCAGAGCTTCACAAAAGCAGTCAAAGACATGGTTCCTGAAGAGCGATGGTCAGGAATCAAACCTAAGGTGGACTATTTTCGAATTTTTGGGTCAGTTGGTCCTGTCCACATTTCGGAACAGAAACGAATCAAGCTTGATGACCGTAGCCATCGATGTATCTTGCTCAGAGTAAGTGATGAAGCAAAGGCTTATTGGCTGTACAATCCGGTTACAAAGAAAATTCTCACAAGCAATGATGTTCTCTTTGAAGAAGATGCGAAATGGGACTGGAAATTAAGCACCTCAGAGCAGACTACTCTCGTTTGGGTGATGGAGAACATGATGATGTTGATGCAGGGGAAAAAACTGATGTGGAAGAGAACGAAAATGTAGAGGAAGCTGCAGAGGAGCAAGGTGAAATCCAAGGAGAGACAGAAACGGCTGAAACAGAAGACGTCATAGGGGAACAAGACGGAGCTGAAACACCTGAGCTTGGAGAAAACTTTCAAAGAAAGAGAAATACTTCAGCCTGGATGAAAAATTTTGTCTCAGGGGAAGAGATAGACGAGGAAGAAGATGACATGGAATATTTTGCTTGTGCTTTCTACATAAGCAATGATGATCCAGTGCATTACTACGATGCTGCAAGAGAAAAAAAATGGAAAAATGCTATGGAAGTGGAGATTCAGTCTATCGGGAGAAATCATACTTGGGAGCTTGTGCATCTGCCATCACAAGCAAAGAAAATTGGTGTCAAGTGGGTTTACAAGACGAAGTTAAATGAAGCGGGAGATGTAGAAAAATGCAAGGCTCGTTTGGTTGCAAAAGGGTACTCACAAACAGAAGGCATAGACTACGCGGAGGCCTATGCTCCTGTTGCTCGATGGGACACCATCAGAAGTCTCTTGGCCGTAACAGCTCAACAAGGTTGGTGTGTATATCAACTAGACGTTAAGAGTGCATTTCTCTATGGAGAGTTAAAAGAGGAGGTCTATGTTGCTCGACCAGAAGAGTTTGTCAAAATCGGAGAAGAAGACAAGGTGTACCGACCGAAGAAGGCTCTTTATGAACTCAAACAGGCACCAAGAGCCTGGTTCAACCGAATAGAGAGCTACTTCAAGAAGGAGGGATTTTAGAAAAGCAATTATGATCAGACCTTATTTCTGAAGAAAGATAAGAATAAAATATTGGTGGTGAGTCTTTATGTTGATGATCTAATATTTGCTGAAAATGATGAGCTGATGTGTACGGAGTTTAAGTCATCAATGCAAAGAGAATTCGAAATGACAGATATGGGAAAGATGAAGTTCTTTCTTGGAGTAGAAGTTCAGCAAAGAGATGATGGTATACATATTGGACAAAAGAAGTACGCCAAAGAGGTTCTGCAGAGCTTCAATATGGGAAACTGCAATTCTTCAAAAATTCGATTGTTCCAGGCACCATACTTTCAAAGGAAGGAAGCGAGAAGACTGATGCAACACTTTACAAACAACTCGTTGGTTGCCTAATGTATCTTACGGTAACTCGTCCTGATTTGATGTTTGTTATGTGCTTGCTTTCTCGTTTCATGGCTAATCCCACAGAAGAGCACTTAATGATTGCTAAAAGAGTGCTAAGATATATAAGTGGAACTTCAGAGTATGGAGTCTTCTACAAGAAAACACCGTTCAAAGAAGTGTTGGGATTCACCGACAGTGATTATGCGAGAGATGTGAATGATAGAAAGAACACTTCCGGATATGTGTTTCTATACAATGATGCAGCAATATGTTTTAGCTCACGTAAGTAAGCCATTGTTACTCTCTCTTCAATGGAAGCGGAGTATGTTGCAGCGACGTCAACAGCATGTCATGGTGTTTGGTTAAAGGAATCTTGCAGAAAATGGGAGTTGGAGCTTGTGAGTGTATCGATATCATGTGTGACAACAGTTCTGCAATCAAGTTGTCTAAGAATCCGGTCATGCATAGGAGAACAAAGCACATCGATGTGAGGTATCACAATCTTCGTGATTTGGTGAATGAGGGAGCTCTGAAGTTGGTGTTTTGTGGAACAAATGATCAAGTCGCAGACATAATGACGAAGCCTATCAAGCTAGATCAGTTTGTGAAACTCAGGGAGTTGCTTGGAGTTCGATGTTTGAAGGATTAAACTGATACTAGTGAGTATTTCAGTTTAAGGGGAGCAATTTGTTGGTTTTGAATGAGTCAATAAGCGTTAGCTTTATTTTAGGAGCTAATCACTTCTCAGTTTTAATTAGCTTTAATTTTGTTATTTGCTTCTGTTACGTATCTTTATTTCCGTTTCATATCTTGCTCTTTAATTTAGAGTAAACGTTGTAAGGCTGTTATATAGAGCAGATTTCCAGAATTATTATAACTTTATTTCCTTCAATCTGAAACAATATAAAATTGAGATTCTATAATTTAATCATAAAACTATT